GCGCGGGCCCGTGCTGCGCCGCCGCCGCGGCGCGGCCGCGGGAGGGGTCGAGCGCGCTCAGGTCCGTCTGGCAGCTGGCCCGCGGCCGCGCGGCGCGCGCCGCGGCCGCCGCGGCGCGCTCTGCCGCGGCGGTCGCCTCGGCCGCTGCAGTTGCGTCGCGCGCGGCGTCAAGCTCGCCGCATGCGCGCTTGAGCCCCACCTCCGCCGCCTGCAGCTGTTTTCTCAGCCCCTCCGCCTCGGCCTTGTTCGCTGCCGCCTCGCGCCGTGCGTCGGCGGCGGCCGCCTCATATCGCTGCAGGGCAGCTGCGTGCCGCTCTGATGCCTCCGTCGCCACCCCTGCCGCGCGAGCGGCGTCTGATTCGCGGGCCCCGGACGCCTCGGCTAGCCGCTGCCTCAAATCCTCCACCTCACCACGCAGCTTTGCATCGGCTTCCTCCAGCTTCTGAAAGCTTTCCGCAAGCGCGTCCCGCTCAGCCGACGCCGCCTGTAGCCGCTGCTCGGCCTCGGCCAGCTGCTGCGCCGCTGCGGCGGCTGCGGCAAGCAGGGCAGCGCGCTCAGTGGCGGCGGCGGCGGCGGCGGCGGCGGCGGCGGCGTCGTGGCGGGCGCTCGCCTCGGCGGCGGCCTGTGGGCTGTAGCCGTGTGCCTCCTGCGCCTGCAAATGTAGATTCCGACACAGCAGTGTTGGCAGACAGCTCACATCAGCGGGTTCCACGCATTTGCGGGCACAGCACCACCCGCCGCGCAGCGCAAGCCACACAACCATCCCCATGACCATGAACCTCAGCAGCAACAGCAGCAACAGCAGCAACAGCAGCAGCAGCAGCAGCAGCAGCAGCAGCAGCAGCAGCAGCAGGCAGGCCGACGTGTACGCAGTAAACACGCCCCCCTCATCCGCTCATGCGCGCCCCGCTCACTTGCCGCAGCTCCGCAAGCTCCCGCGCCACCTCGTCACGCCGCCGCGTCGCCGCCGCCGCCTGCCGCCGCGCCAGCCGCAAGCGCCCCCCCAGCTCCAACGCCCGCGCGGCCAGCCCTCTCTCCTCCCCGAACGGGCCTTCGCCGCCGCAGCCCCCTTCGCCCTCGATCCGCCCACACGCGCAGATGCAGCCGCAGGCGGCTGCGCCCGCCCGCGCGAGCCGCGCGCGCAGCTGCAGCAGCTGGTCTGCGGCGGCGGCGGCGGCCTCGTCCTGCGCAAGAAGCTGAGCCTCCGCCTGCTCGGCTTCCGCCTCGCTGGCGGCCGCCTGGCGGTCACCTAGCAGCGTTAGCGCCGCGGCCAGCGCTCGCAGCTGGGGCTGCGTGCCGGCCGCGGCCCCGACCCCGCCTGAGCCGGGCGCCCGATCGCCGCCGCCGCCGCCGCCGCCGCCGCTGCTGCTGCTGCTGCTGCTGCTGCTGCTGCTGCTGCTGCTGCTGCTGCTGCTGCCGCTGTCGCTGTTGCTGCCGCCGCCGTTGCTGATGCCGGCACCGCCGTTGCTGATGCCGACGCCGCCGTTGCTGCTGCTGCTGCCAGCAGAAGCAGCCGCCGCTTTGGCCGCTTCAGAGGCGCCATTGCCCGCGGAAAGCAGCTCCGCCACCTCTGCATTCATCCTCACCAGCGCCTCACGCGCCGCGTCCGCCGCGGCCCTCCGCGCCGCCCGGCGCTCCAGCAGCAGCGCGCGCGCCGCCTCGCGGCGCACAGCCTCCCTTTCCTGCAGCTGCAGCAGCAGCGCCCGGGCCTCAGCGGCGGCTTCTCCAGCGACATCTGCAAGAACCTGGGCAGCCGCATCGCCCTGGCCGCCCTCGCCTCTGCTGCACTCGGCCGCCCTGACCGCGTCCGACGCCGCCGCTGATCCAGCCGGCACCACCGAGGTGGAGCTGGGCGTCTGGAGATCTTCCAGTTGCCGCGCCACGTCAGCAAGCTCAGCATCCCAGGAAGCTTCCCCTGTGCGCAGGTCTTCCGCAAGGCGGTCCATATCGGCGTCGTCCTCGCCCGCGTACAGCGACTCTTCAGCTTCCAATTGCTGAAGGGCCCGCTGCAGCTGATGCATCGCACGCGCCCCCGCGCATGCGTCCACGCCCGCGCCCGCGCCCATGTCAGTGCCAGCGTCGCCGTTTCCGGAGGGATGGCCGGCCGCGGCGGGCTCGGGCGCTGCTGAAGGCAGCCCGCCAGCCCCGTTGCTTGCGTCCACAACGCTCGCCCGCCCTTCTGGCCCCGAGGTGCTGAGGGCGGCAGAGCCCGCAGCTGCCGCTGCCTGCGCCGCCGCAGCGCCCCCCGCCAGTACCTGCTGCACCAGCCGCTCGGCCGCCCTCCTGCACTCCGCGCGCGCGCAGGCCCGGTCCTCCTGCCGCCCCGCCTGCTCCGCCGCCGCGGCTCCCGCCGCCTCGGCCGCCGCCCGCTGGCTCTCCGACAGCTGCTGCAGGCGCGCGCTCAGCCGGACAAACGCGGCCGCCGCCGCAGAGCGAGCCTCGCGCTCGGCAATTTCCGCCTCAGACCTCTGCAACTGCTGCTGCTGCTGCTGCTGTTGCTGCTGCAGCTCGCGCATTTCTTCCAGCTGTCGCTCCTGCAGGTGCCGGCTCAGCATCAGATCTTCGAGCAGCCTCCGCCGCCCCTCCTCCCACTCAGCCCGCTTCCTCTCCAGCTGCAATTCCACCGCCTCTGCCCCCGCCCTCATCGCCCGCCACCCGGCCGCCAACCCGCGGCCCTCCCTCACGACGGCAGCCAGCGCCCGCAGGTACCTGGCAGCTGCCGCCACTGGATCTGCATCTGCCTGCCCGCCTTTCGCCAGGGCGCCGACGGACAGCAGCATCATGCTGTCGGGGCCCTGGGGGACACCAAGCGCCTGAGACAGCTCTAGTGACAGCCGCCGCGGCACGGCCGGCGAGCTGGGGGCGCCGCCGCTGCCGCCACCGTCCGCGGTCGTGCGGCAGGGCGGCGCGGCGCCGTCGTCGGCGCCGGGCGGCCGGTCTAAGAGGGACGGGCGCCGGCGCCTGGCGCCGGCCGGCGGAGATGGGCTCATGGCGTCAGTGACCGCTGGCGGTGCGACCAATTCCTGGCTATCCCCACTGCCGGAGGGGCTCAGCCCCGGCTCAGGCGGCGCTGCCGCTGCCACCGCCGCCACGTCCCCTGGTGGTCGCGCCGCGCCAGCTGGCAGCAAGGCGCCGCTGGCGGGCGACCGCTGCTGCTGCTGCTGCTGCTGCTGCTGCTGCTGCTGCTGCTGCATAGCCACCCCAAGCACAGCCCCAAGCTCAGACAGATGCTGCTGCACATTCTCGAGCCCAACCCCGCCCAGAGCCCCGTCCCCGGACCCGCAGCTAGGCGACCCCGCTGCGCCTGCCGCCGCCGCCGCCGCCGCCGCCGCCGCCGCCGCCCCGCCAGTGCTGCTCCAGCCGCCGGCCCGCATCTCCCCCACAAAGGTGGTAGCGCCTGCCACAAGCGCGGCCCACTCGCGCAGCAGCGCCTCTGCAGACGGCTCGTCCAGGGCCGCGGCGAGCTCTGCCGGCGCCAGGCCCTCGGCCCGCTCAGGGGGCGGCCGCCTCGCGGCCAGCGCTGCGGGCGCGCAGGGCAGTGGCACGGGAGGCGGGTTGCGGTCACCGCTCGTCGCGTCGCGCGTTCAGTCCTCTGGGCTAACCTCAGGGTCTGATAAACCTCCATGAGCGGCCACACGTCCTATCGTCACAGCCAAATTCTGTGGCCCATGAATCTGTTAACAGACAAGCGCGCGGCGAGCGCGCGCCTCCGCACCTGCCGCGACCCCCAGCCGGCGCCGCAGGCCGCCCATCGCCACGACCGCCTGCACCGCCTTGAGCGCCGCGCGCTTGCGCCGCAGCAGCTCGCGGCGGCGGCGGCGGATGAGTTCCCGGAAGTAATTGTCCAGGGGATGCTCCTCCTGCAGCACACCCTCAGGGTCCCTGGCCACGGCGATGTTTGTGTTTGTGCACATGAGATGGAAGATGTGCCAATCATGACACGATTTTTGTGGGGGCGGGGGGATGGTTGGTGGGCGGGTCGCGAAAAGCTTGTGCAAGTGTGCGTCCGTGTGAGTGCACGCGCGCGCGCGCGCGCGTGTGTGTGTGTTTTGGATGGCAATTCGGGTGGTGGAATGGGTTGCTGTGCGGACAGGCGAGCGGCGGGCGATAAGAGGAGCATGGGTCGATGCCGCAAACCGAAGAAAGAGCACATGGAAGGGACTGGACGGCAGGTGGCCTCCGGCCTCCGCACACACGCGGCATGCACACGCTCGCGCGCGCAGGGCGTCCCGCGCCCACCACACGCGCCCGCCCACCTGAACTGCAGCTCCGGCGCCGCGGCGGCGCCCGCCTCGCCGGGCGCAACCTCGGCCCAGCCCGGCGGCAGGGGCGCCGCGAGCGCCATGTCAGCCACCTCCCATACGTAGAGGTCCTCGTCCTCGGAAATCCCGAAGTATGTCCCCATCTGCTTGATCTGCGTGGCCGCCGCGACGTCCGAGGTTGACGTTTTGGGGCTGCCGAAGCACGGCCCGCGGCCAGGGCGGTGCGGCAGCGCCGTGCAGGCCTCTTTTCAATTGCGGCACCTGTCATGCACTATACAAGTATGCATTCCTGGCAACGCAGGCGCATGATCCAGAGCCGCTGCTGCCGTGCCCGTGCAATCGCGTGCGCGGCCGCCGCTGGCATCGCGCGTGCGGCCGACCATCCGCGCGGCTCAAGCCGGTGACGCCGCGTCGGGTCGCGTCGCACCTCTTCCTGAGTTGGGGGCTGCGCCGCGAGGTTCTCAAGCAGCTGCTTGTAGCCCCCGCGGTCCATGAAGATGGCTCCCAGGTAGTAATCGAGGCAGGGGTGGGTGCCGCGCTGCGCGCCGCTCGGGGCGTGCGTGTAGCACCTGCGGCGGGCGGTTCGGAAGGGGGGGCACGGGTGCTCGCAGCGTTGGGGCGGTCGCACCCTTGACGCCTCATGCTGCACTGTTGGCTGCCCGCACCAACGAGTATCGCCGCGGCTGGGCGGCGCTGTGCTGCGCGAAGCGCGCCCGCCAGGCCCAATGTGAAGCGCACACCATGTCGCGGCAGCCGCATCAAAATGCGCGCTCCAGCCGTTTGGGAGCGACTCGGGGCGCAGCAGGTCCCACACCAGCTTCATGAACCGCTTGTTTCCCTGATACGGTCGTGGGGTGCCATTTGCAAGATATGGGGTTGTGCTTGCAGTGTGGGGGCAGAGTCAGCAGCTCTGCAGCAGTGTGCAGCGCGGCGCGTGCCGCTCGCTTCACGGATCGCAGCAGAGCGCATCGAGTGGTTTCTGGGAGTTGTTTAATGCAGAAATGTACAACGTTCAACCCGTGGGGAGGATCGGCCGTGCATTCGAGACCTTATATGCATGTTTTTGGGCTGGATGTCCTCCCCCCTACTCGGGGCACCCGCAACCCACCGAGTCCACTCCAAGCTGCTTTATCCCGGCAGCCACATCGGGCGCACTTGGATCCAGGTCCGCAGACCTCGATCCACCTGTCCCCGTCCCCATGGCGAAGCCCCGTTTACAAAGTTGTGTACAAGTGATGCATCCCTGTTCGTGGTTTGAGACAACAGATGGTTGTGCTCGTTCCACGGATGCACCTCACATGCATCGAGTCAATGATGAGTCAAGGAATGCACATGCGCGACGTGCGCCCCTCGCTGCGCCGCCACACCTGCACATTGGCACGCCAGCCATTGGGTGCGGAACAGGGCGGCCCAGGGCACGGGAGCTCAGCCGCTCACAGAGGGATGCAGGGAGAAGTAGCCAGCCCCACAAAGACACCAGAGGGGTGAAAATGCAGGGCCTCACTGCACCAGCGATACTCGTCATCCCTCCTCTCCGGTCGCCGTGACGGGGCACCAGTACCGCACGTGCTGCTCCCGCCGGCTGGCTGCCACGACCCCGCCGCACGCCTCGCAGACGAAGCTGCCAGCGCCGAGATGGCTGCTGCCGCTGCCGCCCGCCGGCTGTGGGGGAGTTTGAAAAATGGCGCGCGGGGGCGGGCGACGTCGGGTCCTTGGCTTGGCGACAACGGCGGCTATCTTCGAGACCCGCAATATCTCAATCAGCCCGCACCGCAATGATTGCCAAGGCATGGAAGTGGCTTGCCTGGTGCGCGCCATCCGTGTCCATTCCTTCAAAGCTGGCCTGCTGCTGCCGCTGCTGGTGCTGTTGCTGCTGTTGCTGCTGTTGCTGCTGGTGTTGATGATAAAGTGCGTGCTGCTGGTGATTGGGGCTGTACTGCAGCGACTGCGCATGCTGGTTGAAGAGGTGTTGATGCTCCCCAGGCCACACGTGCGTTGGGGCAGGAACGGCGGGACGCGCAGCTGCCCAGGATCCAGGCTGCTGCCCCTGCTCCGCAGCCTGCAGCACCTGCGTCGCGGCGGTGCGGAGCCGAGGGTGTTTGCTCGCCACCCTTGCACAGCAGGTGGTGACGACGCCCCTGCTGCACCACGCATCGCCTGAACCAGCGGAGGATCATGGCAACCCACCTGCTCAGTGTGCACGCTGATCTTAGAGAATAATTCCGCAAGGTCTGTCACGTCGCCCGCACCCCTGGCGCACGCGTGGCCCTGGCTGTGCTGCGGCATGGCGCCTGCTGCCGCGGCTGCCCCGGAGCGGGCTCGCAGCGCGGTCGCCAGCGCCGGCAGCAGCGCGTCCTGGCCCTCGCACAGCTGCAACGCGCGGACGACGAGCTGCGAGCAAGAGGGGCCTTGTGTTGGCGCGTGGGGGCCGAGTAGGGGGGTGCGGCAAGCGCAGCGCGCGCAGCAGCTAGCATGCATCCGCCGCCCGCCCCCATTGCGCTCACCTCCAGTGCCGGGCCTGCCTGGCCGCTTGCAAGGTGCTGGCGGGCTTCATCCAACAGCACTCTCACGCGTACGCCCGTAGGCACGGGCATAACGGGATCCGTCTGCAACATCCTGCGACACGAAGAGTACGGTATGAAAAAGAGGAATTCACATCGTTTCCTGAAGCAGCTTTCGATACTGCACGTGCTTGGAAGCGCAAATGATACGGGAGCCGTGCCGGTGTGTTCAACATTGGCATCGAGATCGCTCGCCAGCGTCCTCCAACGAACGCGACCCGTAATTTGGCCTCGATTAAATCAGCTGGTACACTTGCGTGCGCCTCCACTGCTGCCAAACTGGATTTTCTCCGCGGTGCTGCGATCATCTTGGTTCTTGCCATTGGCCCCGCGCTTTCAAAGCCATTCGACTGGAGGAACAACGCATATATGGCAACGCTATCAACGGATGTGGCCCCGGCGGGGGCCACCCCAGCGCCTAGCATAGCCGCACCTGGCGCTACCCTGGCTCAGGCGCTGCAGGCGGCGGCCGTTGAGCCGAAGCTGGTGCGCGCCCCGCCCATTGGATCCACAAGGCGCCCTGCCGCGCACGGGGGCCGCACCGATCGCCTCCAGGGCCGCGTACCGCGGCGCTAGTATGCGCAGGGGCTGGTGCCGCGCGTGCGGCGCCGGTGTTGCAGTCGGCCCGCCCGGCAACGCCTTTGCGACAACGGCAGCCGTTGCGGTGCCCGCCCTGTCCGCAGGCCGAGATCATCACTTGCCTGGCGGATTGCGTAGGGGAGATTGGGGTGAGCGACTCACAGCGGTGGCCGCACGCAGGGCAGGCGAACGGTGCTGATGTGGATGCCAGCAGATCTTTCAAACGATCTTCATCCGAGGCACACCAGCCGGCGGCAGCACGCCACCCCGTACGCCCCCGGGAGGCGCCAACGCGAGGGCGCGTGCGGGAGCCGGACCAGAGGCCGATGATTGATGCTTGGGACGGCCCCGCGCACACCCCAAGCCGCGCCTCAGAAGACGCGCCTGCGTGCCACGTTTGTTGCGCCGCGCTTTTGCCCCGCAGGAGGCGCTTCGCAGCAAGGATTTTGAGCAGGCGGGGTCCACCAACAGCTTTGGGGACGAGCAGCTGGAGGTGCGGCAGTGTGTGTTGGGGGGTGCTGCGGCGAGGCGCAATGGGGACCCCCTGGGTATATGCGATTGAATGTTGTGTGCGTGCTGGGGCTGGATGGAGCGCGGCGGGTTCGAGGGGTCGGTGGAGCGAGGGCAAGCCACAGCCGGGCGGCTGGGGGCTCTAGCGGGCGGGAGCAGTGAGGGGCTCCAGGAGGCGGCTGACGCGGCACATATTTTACCCGAGGAACTCCCGGGACGCCACGCCTGGGGTGCCGTTTTTGTTCTCCCCGAGCCGCGTTTCAAGCACCAAAATACCCGGAAACCTGCCCGCGAATCGGACGCAGGCGGACCTGTACGCGGACGGCATCATATTCCGGCGGCTGCGCAGCTGCGGCGCGGCGGCGTCGGCGTCGTCTGAAGAGACAACAGACATTGTGCCCCTGGGTGGCAGCGGCTACTCGGTGGGCGCTGCAGCCGCTGGCGTCCCCAGCAACGGGCGGCGGCTTTGCTTTTTTTTTCTGTCTGTTTTCCCGCTGGCGGCTGCTTGGAGCCTGTCTGTTTCGCGGCAGCCAAAGGAGCGAAAGATCGGGATCGAGCGGCACACAGCCAGGCACCCGTTCACCGGCTGCCGCAAGCCACACGGACCGCGGCAGGCGGTGCCGACCGCTCGAAGCTATTCCGCAGAGCAGCCGGCACCAACGGGAGGCGAACCTCCTCCCTGGCAGCTAATGCCGGCCCCGCCCTGCCGCGACACGCCCACATCTCCGCCCCCATCACCCCGTGCCTGTCTGCCGTTGCGACAGGTGGCATTCGACCCATTGGACGGGTCGTCCATCGTGGACGCGAACTTCGCGGTCGGCAGCATCTTCGGGGTCTGGCCAGGGCCCACCCCGCTCGGTCAGACGGGGCGCGACCAGGTGCGGGGGGCAGCTGATGCGGGCAATCCCTGGGGAGGGCGGGCCAGCAGCGTTGCCGGCGTGCCGCGGCGCCGTGGCCGCTGCCGCCTGCACGGCGCCCTCCGCGGGCGGCGCCCGCGGCTGCCGGTCGCACGGGATGAGGCGTTCGCATTGTGGAACCGCGGGTTGGTTGTATGGCCGTGGGCCGCGCTGAGAGGCTTCGATCGATTGCGACCGCAGGCGGCGGCAATGTACTCTGTTTACGGCCCGAGGACGATGCTGGTTGTCGCATACTCGGATGCCAACGGCAACAAGCTTGTGCAGCAATACGTCCAGAGCACGCACCACCAACAGCAGCAGCAGCGGCAGGACGAGCAGCAGCAGCAGCAGCAGCAGCAGGAGCAGGAGCAGCAGCAGCAGCAGCCCGGCGCCGCCGGCGAGCGGCAGGAGTGCAGCAGCAGCGGCCGGCCGGCCGAGTGGACGCTGCAGCGCGTGTACGCGGGGCTGCGCCACACGAAGATCATTGCGCCGGCCAACCTTCGGGCGGCGGCGGACAACGCGGCGTATAGGCAGCTGGTGGAGGCCTGGATCGACGGGGGCTACAAGCTGCGGTACTCTGGCGGCATGGTGCCGGACGTGCACCACATTTTGGCAAAGGTAGGGGGAGCGTGTTGGTGGTGCTGGTCGGTGGTGGTGGTGATAGTGGTGGTGGTGGTGGTGATGGTGCTGGTGTTGCCGTGCGGCGGCTGGCCGGGGCAGCAGGGCGGGGCGGCAGGCATGGGGGGACCTTCGAGTCGCGGCGTTGTCGGCGCGTGCCGCGCCTGTTTAAGCCGTGGTGGTGCTGGCGCGCCCCCGCCCCAGCAGCCTCGCCGCGTTCCGGCCAGCTCGTGCCGCCGCCCGGCCAGCCTCTCATCCATCCCCTGCGCCCCCCCTCCACGTGCGCGCAGGGCGGCGGCGTGTTCTGCAACCCGGCGTCGCCCGAGAGCCCCGCGAAGCTGCGCCTGCTGTACGAGTGCGCCCCCCTGTCCTTCGTGATCGAGGCCGCCGGCGGCGCCTCGTTCTGCGGCCGCGGGTCGGTGCTCGACCTGCCCATTCGCGACACGGGCGCCAAGACCACCATCGCGGTCGGGACCAAGGAGGATGTTGGCAAGTGCCTCGAAGCCATGAGCGCGTCCCCGGCCCCGTGATCTGGGGGCAGTCTTACTTGCGACGACCCGCCTGTGCCTCCTCACCGGCCCTCCCCCGGACGCACACGCGGCCGGCGGCCTGGTCGTCGCGTGGACGCATGGGGCCGCGGCAGAGGTTTGAGTCTTTTTCGGTGGGGCTGCCGACTTTTGCAAATGGACGCGCGGCACGGGACGGGACGGCTCCGTCGGGGCGCGCAGCTGCCAGCGCGGCTGCCGCGCGGCGCGCCGGCCGGCTCCTGTCTGCTGGATTGGGCTGCTTTTTGCGGTCAGTGTCACGAGGACGAGTGAGCCTTGAGCTTGTGCTTCTTTTGGCGGCGCGTCGCACCCCTCGGCCTGCTGAGGCCGGGGCGTGCTTGCCGCTACTCTGTGCATCGCACGCCGAGCGCGCATGCACACACTGCCGGACTGCATTGGGCACCGCAACACAACCCACGGCGCTCGCCGGCGGCGTCGAAGGCGCGCCGCGCGCCCACAACCGAACGCTGGCGGTAGCACTTGGTTACCACCAGCACACCACACTCATAAGCCACTGCAGCGAGGCGCGCAGCAGACGATACCATGGGGAGCGTCAAAATGTAAACCTTCACAAAACGAGCCGTCGAACAAGTTTTTCACGACCTAGCCGTGTAAGCAGTCACTGCACATGCATGGTGGATGTTCAGGCACACAGGAGGACTGCCTTGTGCAGGTGAGGGATCGCGTGTGTTTGCAGGTGAATCCGAGGGAGCGCGGCCTCCGGACAGGATCAGACGTCGCTGCGGTGTTGCAGCAGCGGCAATGCTACAGGGTTTGTGCAGGCATCGGCTGGGCATCCGCGTGTCATGAAATGGCAGCGCCTCAACCTGCTGGCCTGCGGGGGCTGCACATCAAGGTTCCTGCGTATCATCTCCAGAGCAAGCACATGCCGCCACGCGCAACAAATTCGCGGCGGCGGCGGCGGCGGCGGCAACTGCTGCGGCAGCCCTGCGTGGGCGCGTCACGCGCCGTGCCGCTGCAGCGCGCGCGCGTAGCGCGCCAGCGCGCCGGCCAGCCCCTTCGCGGCCGCGGCGCGCGTCGGGCCCATGTGGTATATCTGGCAGGCGCGCGCATGGAATGGCGGGTACCCCGCGAGCGTGAGGGCGGGGCCGTAGACAAGAAGCAGCTGCGGCTCCCGCAGCACGGCGGCGCCGGCGGCGGCGGCGAGCTCCAGGTAGACGGGGGCGTGCTGCTGCTGCTGCTGCTGCTGCTGTGTTTCGTGACGCGGACGAGAGTCCTCGTCCACCTGCTGTTGGCCCTTTCGCTGCTGTTGCTGTTGTTGCTGTTGCTGCTGCTGCGGGGCGCGGCGCACCAGGCTGCGCCCATGTTTACTCGCGGGCGTGCCAGCCGCATGGCAGCCAGCATCCCGCGCCGCGCCGGCACCGTCGCCTCGGCTACACCCGCACCCGCACGCGGCGACGCTGCCGCAGCCCCCGCCGCGACACAGGCGCTCCCCGGCCGGGGGCAGCTGACAGCAGCCACTCATAGGGCTGCCGTCGCCGCCGCCTGCAACCACGGACTGGTCCACGCGGCTGCTTGAGCAGCAAACATCGCTGGGCGGTTCAGAGGCTGCGGGCCCGCTACCCCGCGCCGCGCCCGCGCCGGGCGCCGCCCTCAAGGCCGCCGCCACGACGGGCGAGTACCCGTCCTCCGCCGACAGCAAATGGACCGTCACCACGCGCCGCCGCGCGCCAGGCCCCGCCGCCGCCGCCGCCGGCGCCGGCGCCGGCGCGCTCGGGCCCGCTGCGTCGCCCTGCCTGATCGGGCTGCGGCTGTCTGCCACAGCGCGGTAGCCCCTGACGCCGTTGGCCCCTTTGTGAGGCAGCCGGCAGTCTGGATCGGCGGAAACCAGCCCGTTGGCCGGCTTGCACCGCCGTGTCTGGTCCTTCTCTGGCCAGCTGTCCTGCACATGCTGCTGCTGCTGCTGCTGCTGCTGTCCCTGCTGTTGCTGATTGTCCTGCTGCTTCTTATGGTGCTGCTGCTCCTCTTTGTGCTGCTCCCCATGCTGCTGGCGTTCCCAACACCGCTGCCCCGACACTGCTGCCTCCAAATGGCCCTGGCACCGCCGAGCCTCCCCGCGCTCCAAACGCGGCAATGTTGGCAACGCCGCACCCACGGCCGCTTTCTGGGGAATCGCCAGGGCCGCAGGTTGGTTTGTGGGTTGTAGGCCGCCGGGCTGCACGTGCTGCTGCCACGTAAGCCAAGAGCACCAGCCTTGTTGCTGCTGCTGCTGCTGCTGCTGCTGCTGCTGCTGCTGCTGCTGCTGCTGCCGCCCCTGCCCGCTCTTTCTAGCCACCGACGCGCCATCGTTGAGGGCGACACGCTGCAGCTTCGCCTCTGATCGCTGACCGCTGGGCGCCCGCCGTGCTGTGGAGCCGGCCAGGCCGGGCCACCCGGCCACCGACTCGAATGCAAGGCCGTCCGCCTGGGGGTGGCTGGCCAGTCGGTCGCCGAGAAACGCGGCGCTGCCTTTCAGCTGGCCTGTGGGTGTGTTGAAGGGCGGAGCGCCGCGCCGTGACCGTTGCGTTGACCATCACAGAGGTGTGTTTGACCCGCATATAGATGCTCTTGGCTGCTGCAGTGCAAACACCAAGACAAAGAGGCAGGCATACAGTCCATCACGCCTGGCGTCGTCGCTCAGTGCAGACCCTGGCGCAACAAAGGTTGTGTGCCACGGCAACAAAGGTTGCTCGCCATGGGCGATACAGGAGGTGCCAACTGGCGGCAACGCCACCGGCGCACCTGAAGGGTCGTACATATAGATGTACTCCAACCCCAAAGAGGCACACCTGCATGAAAAAGCAGGGGCGGCATTTGAATATGCGCTGACCGACTGCGGCAGGAACAGCACGAGGGCGGCATGTGTAGCGGCGCACGGTGGCGCACCAGACTGCAAGGTTTGCCGCACGTTGAACGGAGACCTCTTGCGGAATGGGCTCCGCAAAAACCAGGCCGATTGTGGTCGGCCTAGGAGGGCGGGAGCCCCTCGTCTGCGTTGGGCGCTGCTGCAGGGTACTCCTCACGCGCAGCACGCGACCAAGCCAGCACCACCCGTCAATGACGAGTTGCAGCAACACGATGAGCAGGTCCAACAGGCGATCAAGGAGCAAGGGACCCAGCCAAGCCATTCCTGCCAGCGTCCAAGGCCCCTGTAGCTATCCTGCCGGATCGAGGCGGTTCTGCAAGCTCTTCAGCATGCCCCTGATTAACCCACACGCCGCCTTAAGGCACTGCTGATGATGCGGGTGATCTGGGGCGTGTTGAAATACGTGTGAGCCTCTGAAGCCATTCAGAAAGGCATTTATCACCGATACGACTCAAACACATTGACGTGCTACTCTAGCCCAGCAGTTACCGTAGACATTCGCACTCGAACCCGGCGACTGCATTGTTGCGACGTCATCCCGCTGTATATATGTTCACGGTGGCGATCAGTTACAGAACAATAAACGCAACCGATTCAACCGCAGCGTGACAGCAGGGAGGGGCTGTCAGCACTGCAGGCCAGCGCAGCGGACGCCGCTGCTGCTGCTGCGGCGGCAACTCAGGATGCGCATCGTGCAGTCATATCCGCCATGTTGCAGAGACGGCCGTGCATGCGGTGTACATACACGGGTGAGGTACAGCATCGTACGCGGGGGCATGTTGCCACCCAGCTCGCACCACCTGCTTGCTGGACAGCGAAGGACGCGCATCACGGTGGTTGCCCTGGCGACGGCCAGGCAGCAGCCAGATCAATTGACAGCGCCGCAGCAGCGCTCAACCCCCGAAACTGGAGAAGTTGAAGGCTCCAGCGACCCCACGGCCGACACTGACAACGGCAGCAGGAAGCGCACTCGTGCGAAGCGCAGGAGCGGCAGCAGCAGCAGCGGCGACGTCTCACAACGGTGGGTGTGGGGGTTTCAGCAGCCCCAGGTCGGCTTTGCAGTGAAGGATCGCAGAGACCCGCTTGGCCAGCAGCGTCCGCGCCCTCGGACGAGCTTTTGCAATGATGTTTGATACCGCCCCGAACCACGTCTGTTTTGCGGGCCATGTGCTGCTTTGCAGGAGGGAGGCGCTAGGCGCAGGCCCAGAAGGTTGGGGCGTGGAGCCTGAATCCAGCAATGGGGTCGCCGGCAACGCACCAGCGGCAGCACAGGGCCATCATCATCATCATCATCAGCAGCAGCAGCAGCAGCAGCAGCAGCAGCAGCAGCAGCAGCCGGAGCGGCAGCAGCCGAGAGGGCGGCAGAAGGCCAACCAGCGAGATCGCAACGGCGGTGAGGGGACCGCAGGCCGGGGCAGTGGCGGCGACGGCCAGAGGTTCAAGGGCTTCTTGTCGGCAGAGCCCGACCGGCCGCCCGCATCACTCGCGCGCCGCCTGTGCGAGCGGCTGCGCAAGTTCAGCTACACGAGGATCAAGTGCCGCAACTGGGAGTCCGCGGGCGTGGCGGCCGCCGCTGCGGTGGAGGCGTCCGCGCAGCTCGCGAGGTGCGTGCGACCGGCCTAACTCGCTTCATCGGGGGTGTCCTCGGGCCCTTGAGCGCACCCGCATGCTGATTTGGCTGGCAGTTGGCACAAGGAGGTGTGCCGTGGCGCGCCGCCGACCCCTCACCCGGCCCCTCAACCGATGCGCTCTTCGCAATCGCGAGCAGCCAAGACGGGGCGCTCCTCATCTTCCAGCCGGAGCAGCCGCGGGAGCTGTCGGCGCCGCGCGACCCCTTTGTTCTGTGGCTGATCGCCGCGGCGGTGCCCTGGGGGGAGCTGCCAGAGTGCGACTACCTCGCATGCAGGTGCGCAGGGTGGTTTCTGGGCAAAGCACGGGTGAAGACGCTTTGAGCCGCCTGGCGGCAATGACAGCCGGCCTCGCTGCCGTGTCAGCAGACGAGCCCGTGCGCCGGTCCAGCCGTGCGCCCAGTCCGCGGCTGGAGGGCACTCGCTGTGCAGCAGGGTCGGACGCCACACCACGCTCGCGTTGCTCAAGCGCTGCGGCGCGCCGCGGCTACCCGCGCCACAAATCACAGGCCCGCCACCGACGCGGCGATGTTGGCGGACGCGGTCGCCGGCATGATCGACAGAGAGGGGTTCACGCAGGTGACGGGAGTGGGGCGGACGGCTGGGGCGGGGGTGGGGAGCAGAAGGAGAAGGTGGAGAGGTAGCTGGGCCATGTGGATGGTGCTCCATCAGATCTGACCGTGTGTGTGGTGCGCGAGAGCATGACCACGCTTGCCCCATGCTGGGTGGCGCTGTCTGCCATTTCTACGTCGGTTGGTCAGACACGTCCGCTCACATGAACACCACCCCCCGCCATCTGGTTGGACGGCGCCCCACCCCCCTCTGCTGACGTGGCAGTTGCGCATCTCCACGGCGTCGGAGGCCCCTAAGGCGCTGCTGGCGATGGCGGAGGCGCGCGAGTGGCTGCGGCTGTACCGGGTGAAGGACTTTGCCGTGGTGGCAGAGCCGCAGGAGCAGCAGGAATCGCCGCCGCAGGAGGGGCAGCAGCAGCGGGCACAGCAGGGGCAGAAGCAGGCACAGCAGGGGCAGCAGCAGCAGCAGCAGCAGCAGCAGCAGCAGCAGCAGCAGCAGCAGCAGCAGCAGCAGCAGCAGCAGGGGCAGCAGGAGGCACAGCAGGACCAGCAGCAGCAGGAACAGCAAGACGAGCAGCAGCAACAGCAGCAGCACACTGACGGCGAACAGTGGGCTCTGACCCTGACGCTGCTGGAGTGCAAATGGAATTGTATGACCTATTTCAAGTACTGAAGCGCCTACAAACTGACAAACCTGCCGCATCGGCAGTTGTAGCCGTCGCAGCGTGCCGACCAAGGGTCCAAGTATCACTCTGCACGATTGCGGAACGCACATCTGCACGCCGAGCTATCACCCTATGCATGTTTGCAAATCAAGCGGCGGATGGTTGAACGTGCTTGCCACTGCAGCAAGCCGCACGCGGGAGGTGCGTCGGCCACACGCCACTGTTCTTGCGCATGTGTGTCGGGCGCTGGTCGGGCGGCACTCCGAATGAAGATGCACTGTGCAGGAGATGGACGCACAATCATTCCCGTGAGCGCCAGAACTTGTGACTCGCACATACAAGAAAGTGCCGCACACCGGCCCACGTACAGTATTGCTCTCTGTAGCAAGGGCAGTCACAAGATCTGCGGGACTAGAGCGCGCATCCACCGCAATGGAAAATAAGCAGATAGACAACGATCCGGAACATAAGGGGCAGCAGCGGTGCTGTCTCGGCGCTCTCTACTTCAGCTCAGCAGCTCAGGCCGCAAATAGGGGCCCGGTGCGTGATGTGAAGACGCATGGACTGTGATGCGTAACTTGTTGAGCACGCAGACCTGAGGCAGGAGGCACCTCTTAACGTGCCTCGCCATGTCGCTGCGCTGCCGCCTCAAAACCCGTCACTTGCGCAGACGTGCATCGGCTTCCAGCATACACCCGCCACGCCGGTCAAGGTGGAGCAGAAGGACCCGTCGGTAGAGGAGTGGACGGGCTACAAGGCGAGCGAGCAGCGTGGCGGCAGTGGGGCGCAGCAAGCAGCGTCGAGCCGCCGTCCACGCTCGCGCTGCGAGCCATTCCTCGATTGTGTTTTGCCACGTCCTCTCACGGCCCTACATTCGTTCGCACTGCAATGCATGCATCCGGCCTGACAGGGACTTCAGCTGTCCACCAGCCGTTTATAGTGCGCTGCTGCACGAATTGGCATGACCTCACTTTGCCGCGTTTCGTGTCCCTGCGCGTCTTCGCTGCGCAGTTTATTTGCCTGGGGAATTCCCTTTACACCAAGACGGCAGGCGACGGGGGCGCGGGCAATGGCAGCAGCTTCCACCTCCTGCCGTACTGTGAGGGTGAGCCCCGCGCCCAAGCATGCAACGTTGGCGGGTTTCATCCCTGCTACGCGTCGTGACTCTGCCGCCCGCGTGAAAATACCACGGTCGACGCAACGCGCTTGCCAGCGGCCCGCGCCGGCTGTGCACATCCTGACGGTCTGTGTGCTGCCGTGTGCGCCAACTTGGTGTGCGCAGGTGTGGAGGTTCTGGTCGCTTCACAGGAGCAAACAGCTGCCACCAGGCCTGACAGCACGGCCGCCTCAGCCGGGGCTGCGGCCGCGGCACCAACAGCAAAGGGCGCGCTGGCCGCGGCCCGCGGGCAGCACGAGCAGCCGGCGGCGCCCCAGCAGCAGCAGCCAGCGCCGCAGCCTCGCCCGCCGCAGAGGCAGCAGCAGCCACAGCAACGGCAGCAGCCGGCGCAGCCGCTGCCGCTGCCGCGGCCATCGTGGCAGGCCGTGATGGAGTCCCTTGGTGGGCATTAAAGCTGCGTGTCTTGTTGGCTCTTGCACGTGTTACTGGCGGCTAGACTGTCTAGGCACGCGGTTCCCAGGAGTCTGGTGGTCTTATCGGCTCAGCAGTTTGACCATCCCCCCCCCCACCCGCACCTCCCCGCCGCGCAGACGGCCGCGCCGCTGACGCCCAGCGCTTCAGGAAGCGCTTCGAGGCGGTCGCGGCGCGCAACGCCCAGGCGATGCGCCGCGCGCTCGACGCCGCGTACGACGCGGCGGTCAAGCCCGTGCTTGACAAGCTCTCCCCCGGCGGCCCGCGCGCGTGACAAGGAGTGAGCTGGGCTCGGCTGCCGCGCGCTTTTTGGCAGAGGCGGAATGTGGGCGGTCACGCCGCGTGGTCAGCGTCGCAGGCGCGAGGCCGCTGACCCCGCTCTAGACGGATCAGCATCTGTCGAAGCCGAGGGGCGAGGAGCTCGGCTTGGCTGCTGCTGCCAGCTTGATTACCACAGGGCCTCCCTGGTTGCGAGTCCTGCAGGACCTCGGGGCGGCGCGCCAGCGCAGCCCCTCTTGAGGTAGCAAGGCGGGCCGGCTTGCCGTGGCCGCCTGGCTGTGCTTGGCGCCTTGGGGCGCCGCGCGTCGCCGGGCTGGCGCCTTGCGTGCTGTGCTCTTGTGCAGTGTAGCTGGGACGTTTGGCTGGGACGGGCCAAGGGGAGAGAGCGCTTGTACAATCCATAGTGGCGTCATCGTCGCTGTTGCCGCCACCTCTGAACCGCAAGCCTGCGGCGCTGCGACCAACATTACCGCGGGGCGACCGCGGCGACTTGCGGTGGCGGCCGGTCGGCCACGCGTTTTGGGGTGCGGTAGGCTAGCCCTGCACTGCTTGTTGGCGTGGGGGGCGGGCGCGCGCGGTTTGCCTGTGCCATCCACAGTCCTACACAGTCAAGCAGCATTTCGCACGTTGGGCTCCCTCCATACGTTGATTTGCATCAGTTGCAAAGTTTTGTCAATGCACCCTCTTTTGGTGCTCACGTGGGAGCAGACCCTGTCGCCCTCGCACGCACGTGTGCCACGTGGCACGTACAGCTTGGAACTGCTGCTCAATCGCGCCCTTGTGCGCGGCGTTTGATGAATGCGACCGTTTCGCTCTTGGGCAGCCCATGCCTGATGTAATTTCGTTACATCCTCCGTCCGCATGCCGCACCCGTGATTTTTCGGCCGGCGTGCTTGAAGCAACACCTTGTGCTCCTTGCATCGGTCGAGGGCTGGATGCTGAAGGGGCATGCGCAAGGGGGCGGTGTCATTGGCGGCACGTCGTCGACCGGCGGGTCTCAGCGCTATCGCAACCCTGGTTTTTGCTCGCGGCGTGGACAAACCACTGCGCAGCCCGCTGATTCACTGTGGCGCCTTGCTGTATTGATCGGGCAAGTCCGAGCAGGGCAGACTGATTGAGTTGAAGGTGACAGGTGTGCATTACAGCCAGCAGGTGTACCGTGCGGCTGACAGGGGAGGCCGACCATGGCGGGCACTGAGCAAGAGCAACAAAGGCTTGCCAGTGCCACAATCAGGCAGTCAATCGAATTTCATGCTTCATTTTGGCACGTTTATGCGCACCCTGCCCGCGGCATCGAGGCTTTGAGAGCCGGCGGGTACAGCAGCTCGATCTTTCATAGCCGCATCGCTTGGTGTCCGGTCCGTCCGACTCCTGATGAATTTGTGATATCACTACGTATGTTGGCTGTGAGAAGCTTAGGCGTGCGGCTCGGCTTCGCGATGCAGCTGCAACTCGGGCGAGTTGCAATGCGCAGTTCGGCCCGGGGGGCAGCTCGTTGCAGAGCAGAGCTCTAGAAGAACCTAATTTTAGAGTCTCAATAGGCCACAATGGACGAGGTGCGCGGCCTGTGGCTTGCTGTTCGAATCAGCACCTCGATGTGCGCTCGGCGGGGAGGAGCGGGGCAGCAAACGCGTGTGCACCAGGGAATAGCGCATGAAAGCGTATTGGAATACATCAATCACGTTGCAACACGTGGGCACATGGCGCGCCGCAGGCGACGGGGCTGCGCGAGCTGGAGCGCAGGCTCCGAGAGAGCGGTGCATTCGAGAGGGTGCAGCACGGTGAGGCGGCCGCACCTCCCCTCCCCGGCAGCCAAGAGCGGCACCAACCGCTCCAACGCGCACATGCCAGCAGCGCAGCACCCCGGCGCACGGACCGCGCGCGCCGCCCGCGCACCTCCAGCGGCAGCTCGGCCGCGCACGGTCAGCCCCCACTGTGTCGCCGCGCCCTCCTGCCTTTCACAGACCCGACAGTCCTGATCCGCTTCCTGGCGGCCGGCGGCCGCGACCCCAAAAAGGCGGCGGGGCTGGTGGAGGCGATGCTGAGGTGGCGCACAGACAGCGGGATCGACCGGCTCGTGCGCGAGTTTGAGTTTGCGGAGCGCGGCGTGTGCATGGAGGCCTACCCTCAAGGGTACCACAAAACGGACAAGAAGGTGCGGCCACCAACAAACCTGGCCGTTGGCAAGTGGTGCTGCGAGGAAGGGGGTGGACGTTGCGCGTCCGCGGCCGCGGGGCGTGGGCCGCGGCGGCGCCGCAGCCCCGCGCCACCCGCGGAGCCAGCTCGATCCGCCCGCACGCGCGCGCGCCCGCCCGCTCCCAGGGCCGCCCCGTGTACATCCAGCAACTCGGCCGCGCTGACATCGACACTGTCATGGCGGTTACGACCGAGCAGCGCCTAGTCAGCCTGCACATCCAGGAGGTGGAGAAGCTCTTCGGCGTCATCCTCCCCGCCTGCAACGCGCTCGCTGGCGCGGCCCCGCGCGCGACGGCCGCGGCGCCGCCGGCGGTGCGGGGAACGTGCAGCGTGCTGGACCTGTCGGGGGTCGGGTTCGGGTCGCTGATCAAGGCGAAGCGGCTGCTGACGCTGTTCCTCGCGCTGGACGCCGCCTACTTTCCAGGTGGGGCCCTTAAGGCCAAGGCGCAGCACGCGGATGGTCTGGGGACGCAGGGGCCGGCGGCAGACCCTGCCCCCTTGCAGAGCAGCGCGGCTCTTCAAAGCGGGCCGGCCGTCGCGTCCCCTGCCCGCCTCGCTCCCTCGCACCCGCAGCCACCCATCTGCGTCATGCCTAGGACCCCTGATACGCCCCTATTCTCCCTAAGCTCCCTGGGATGCCCCGGGATCCAAACCACTCGGCCCAAAAACTCTCCCCCAAATACCCACCAACCCAAAGATACGATCGACGCGATGCTGGTCATCGGCGCCCCCTCCTGGTTTTCTGGCGTGCTGGCCGCCATGCGGGCGCTGCTGACGCCCGAGCAGCAGGCGCGCATGGAGGTCATACCGGGGGACTACAGGCCGCGGCTCCGGGAGCTCATCGGGGCGGAAAACCTACTGGTGGGTGTGGCTTGGGAGGGGGGAGTTGTAGGTGGAGAAATGGAGGCAGCGGGAATGCTGTTACAGGCCGGTTTGGAGGTGGCTGTGTGGGGCATACGAACCTGCGCGTCTTCATGCCATCGCACATGCAGGATCGCGGCCCCGTGCAAGCATGAGTGTTGTTGAGTGCTTGCGCTTGTGCACGAATGCGAGCAGGGGAGCGGACAGCAAGAGCCCAATGGAGATGAGAACAACCAGTGATTTAGCACGGTCTGCAGCCGCCCAAAACGGCTGGGAGTCTCGACCGCTGCCGCCACCGCCACCACCACCACCACCACCAACACACCTGTGACCACCACAACCACAACCACAACCACCGCGCCGCAGCCTGAGTATGGCGGCACGTCCACCGGGCGCCTCCAGGACGACGACGGCCCCTGGCGCAGCGCCAAGGCGCTCGCAGCCGCCGGCCTCCTGCCCTGCTCGTCCCTCGCAGCCGCCGCGCCTGGCGGGCCGGCGGCGCCGCTGGCGCCGGCCAGCAGCTTCCTGATGCGGCTCGCAAAGGAGATGGTCCGGGAGCAGCATGTGACGCTGCAGCCATCAGTCATGATTGTGTCGACCGCGGAGCCGGCGCCGGAAGGGCACGGGGAGCTGTGCGTTTGGCACTCCCTCTCCCGCGCGCCGAGCGCGCGCTCGCGCGTAGCCCCGGCGCGCAGGCCGGCCGCCGCGGCCGCGGCGGCGACGGCGGCGGCAGCGGCCGCTGGGGTCGCGGCGTCGTCGGCGCACGCTCCAGCGGCG